ATAATAAGTAAGTAGGACCCCTCCCCCCCGACAAGTAAGTGTATACAATAGTTCAGTTTATCTCGGGGAAAACATGGAGTTTAGGTCACTAAATTTGGAGTAGTAAACTCCCAATATTATGGTGAATCAAGGTAAGATTTTGAAGCCTGATACATGATAACCTGTACAGGTTTACTCAGAACTATAAGTCCCTCTTTTCTTGTAGAGTTTACTCCTAGGAAGGATGTATAGGGTTGGTCTTTAAGGGCTCAGTTAGGAGGTGGACATCTTGCAGCCTTCCAGATATGCAGCCCTTAGCAAGTATAGCTAATGGTAATGAATGCTGAGAGTTGCAGTCCACCAGCAGCTGGAGGGCCACATGATTCTGACCCCTGGGCTAAATCCAATATTCTCCCCACTAGAATAGACCCACTGATATCAGTAAGACTTATGCTACTGAAACTGAAAAGTCCCATTTATTGCAGTGGGTCTAGAATTATTCGAACCAACTTTGGATTTAGTTCTAAGAGGATAACTTCTGTATTTCAACTGAACGCAAGACAACAATGAGCTGATAATCCTCCCCACAGTCTTTAGAATTGCTCCAAAATGGATTGGCTCACCATCCAGCTTTAACCAACTGCTTTTGCATTTATTTAGGATTTCTGAGTTTATCCTGCTTTTGCATTTCAGCATTTCTCCTGCTTTTGCATTTATTTAGGATCTCTGAGTTAGTGTTGAAGAAAACATAGTTACTTGTTTGGATATTGAACACTGAATCTATCTATCTATCTGTCCCTTGTTGGCCTGTATCATCCAATTAATGTGCTTTTTAAATGCACTGAATCCCATTTGGCCTCCCATAACGTGCCATTGGCTTTCATGGTAGTCAACGGGAATCCCTTGTGAGCACAATGGCAATCCAAATGTAGTCCCTACATATTTTACTAATCTTCCTGAGTATTTGTAAATGATTCATTTCCTCCTGAGACATCAGTGGCTCTTGGGTAGATACACAAATGTATTTTTTTCTTTTTAAAAAAATGTTTTTCAGTTGCCTGGAATTGGAACTGCTTTGTGCCACTTATTTCTCTGATTTACTTGCAAGTAGTCTGAGTGTCTCAACAGGAAGCATCGATGAACAGACGCCTATATAATGAGTCTTCTTTTACTCGAATGATTTTGATTCTTCTCTCAGATCACTGAATGAATCTGTAGTATAGGTTACAATGCCTTGTTAAATGAATGATCAATATCAGCTGTAGATATTAATACTAATGGGAGGAAGACAGCACATTTCATCATATTCAAACGTGCTTTAAAGATGTAAAAGATAGATTTGATGACCTTTGTTAGTCAATATTAGCATGTACATGTTTAGATAATCCATTATGGATTTAATTCATATTTGAGATTCATGCATATTTAAAACACAAAACTGCTCAGTGCTGACGTGAAACAAAATCCTATGTGTGTTTACTCAAAAGCTGACTCTACTAAGTTCAGTGGGACTGTCAAGGCAGTGTGCATAGGACTGCAGTCGTCATTCTTTATGATCAGATGCAATGCCTTGACTGCCTGAAACATATCAATAAAATATATATCCTGATATACACGACCAAGTGTGCTTTCTGTTGTGAATTCTACATATCTTCACCTTTTTCTTTTCCTCAAAACATGTGAAAATAGATAGATAGATATGCAGATAACCACATAGGCTATGGAACAGCTGTTAAAGGTCTAATATATTTTTCTTACAGCCTCTGGCCTGAGAGAACTGCCTTGGATCATGTTATATAATGCTTAAAAAAAAGAAAAGCCAAATAGAAGCAGTGATGCAATGGGTCGCCACAGTATCTTGAAGCATGGCTGCCATAATGAACAAAATATTGCATTTTTCATTGGCCAGCCGAGCCTATAGTGCCGCCAGTGAATAACAGATTGACATTTGGTCATTATTTCTTATCAAGGGTGTTTTACTTATAATGCTACTTGACAGCTATATTCTAGGTCTGACAGCACTGAACCAGCTTAATTCCCACTGAACTGCTCTAAATACGTGGTATTGCAATCAGTTTAACAACCCCTGGAGGCAATGAAATCTCTCCTTTGAACACACTCAAGGGGAAGAAATCTAAGATTTATAAAGGGCAGCAAGTATTCAAGAAAGGGGGCAAAGTTTATATGTGAGCCTATAATTGATGTTTCCTTTGTTGCAAAAGAAAGCTTGGATATGCTTTAAGAATTAATCTTTAACAAGTTCTAATCTGCACTAACAAGATCTGTTCAAGATGACTGAGAGAAAGGGAGATGTGATGCTCTGAGTTTTGTCAGTTTCAGTCTACTAAGGTAATGGAGTTCAGGTACATGCCATTGAGAGAAGAGGAAAATTTCCCATTTGCCCACAGGTGATTACTGAAAGTAACAGTCTCTCTTCTTTCTTTCCTTCCATATCCTTCCACATGCAGGTTTGATGGATAGTAAATGGTCAGTGGAAAGAAGTGAAGCTTGTCGCTAGTAGACAGTATGGTGCTGAAAGAATGCATCCAAGAATGGCAAAGCCAATGGTGGGTGCTTTTTGCTAATGACTTTCCACAGCTAAACCAGGTAGGTAATACAGGAACCAGACATATTAAAGTCAAATCAATGTTATTTATTTGCCACATGCACAGTTCACTTGGATTGCTGAAATTGGTGCTATGTGCAGCTTCATTTGCAAAATCAATGCAGAAACATAGCTGTTGCTGAATGCTGCAGCCATTTTATTGGGCTAACTGGGGCTACTGAAATTGTTTGATTTGAAGCTTCATTAACTAATGTTCTGTTTTTGGGCACAATTCAAAGTAATTGTGATGACACATAAAAACTTTAAAGGTATAATAAACCTGAGGGGTCACCTCTTTCAATATAAGCCTTCCAGAACTTGGATTTTTTTCCCCCAGAGAGAGCTTTGTTTCTGTTCATCAGTATTTCAAGTGTATTTGATTAGGACTCAGAGGATGCGATCTACTCAACAGCTGTAGCCAAGCTCTAGAAGTATCTTACTTTGATAGTTTTTCTAGTCCCATCTCCAAGGGCTATCTGTTGACAGATAAACAGTAATGGCTAGTAGATTCTATGTCATTGGGACAGTGAATCCACTTCAGGCTTTAGCCCAAAGGAGCTATACAAGCTGCCCAATCTTTTTCTCCTAATAGGTTCAGCACCCTGACAATTTCTTTAAAGTTTGACCTAAAACTTTGAGCTGAGTCACTGCCCTAGTGAAGTGAGAGCACTAGCCAGCTCTACAGGCAAGGCCCTTTTTAGGTAAACAGATCTTTGGCTTATGAGTGACCTGTAATAGCTTGAGTGCTATAATGAGATAATTCAGTAACTCACATGTGAAGTTGTCTCCTAGGATCTGGTTGTTGTTGTTGTTGTGGTGGTGGTGGTGTGCCTTCAAGTCATTTCTGACTTATGGTGACTCTAAGACAAACCTATCTTAGGGTTTTCTTGGTAAGTGTCTTCAGAAGGGGTTGCCGTTGCCATCCTTTAAGGCTGAGAGTGTGTGACTTGTCCAAGGTCACCCAGTGGGTTTCCATGACCAAGCTGGGATTTGAACCTGGTTTCCACAGTCATAGTCCAATGCTCAAACCACTACAACATAATAATACTGAACAGCATTGTGGTATGCTCTGATCAGTCTTTTTACAGTGCTGCCATTGATTCCTACTTCATTCTGATTTTGTGATACTATCTTGTAGCCACATCTCATCTGACACCTAACATCATCATTCTGCCTGTCTGATCTCTGATTTGCTGGGGTTGCCACAGGACAATGTCCTTGTTTGTTAATTGTTCCTTAGTCACATTGATCTCTGATCTGTTTTCCAGAGAGCTGAAGGCCACAGACATGGCAGCTCTTCCTCATTTAATCCTCACAACAATCTTGAGGCAGATCAGGCTGAGAAAGTGGTGCCTCATAGCTCACTTAGGACTTTAAACAGAATGTCTGAAGTCCCATGCTAACTCTCTAACCACTATATTGCCCCTGTTTTTAAAGAAAATGGTCATGAAATAGCAGATGGATGAGAAAGGAGATGTGAACAGCTAGCAGAAACTTTTAAAGGTAAGCAGATATGGTCCAAAACACATTGCAGAAATAATCCAGTTTGAGACTGCATTAACTGCCCTGGCTCAGTGCTAGGGAATTCTGGGAACTGTAGACATTTAGCTTTGTCTGTCAGAGAGCTCTTGTATCACAATAAATTACAGTTCCCAGGATTCCCCAGCACTGAGCCAGGGCAGTTAAAATGGTCTCAAATTGGATTATCTATGCAGTGTGTTTGGACCTATGGCTGCAGATCTCCCCAATTTATCCCAAGAAATTAACTACTGAAATTCTGGGTGTTTTTTTTAAATCAAAATAAAGCTTCTTGCACAAAAATCTCGGTAGCTAATTCTCTGAAATCTGGCCAAATTCATCCTTCTGTGGCTGCAAATTTTCATTCAACTCTGACAAAAGTATTTTAAAAAGTTATACCTTTTTGCTGTTTTCCTGATGATGGCCAACAGGGAGACATGCTACTTTATTTTTCTAAATCCACATTCTGATTTCATTTAGACCCTAATTTGGTGGTTTCAGAAACAAGCTGTGTCAAGAATTTTCAGAACCACAGAACTGGGGCCAAATCAAAGCTTGTGGTTAATGCTGTCTCGTGACTCCCATGTTAGTGGGACATGGAATAAATTGTTCTAAGTACCTTGGATAGCTCCTATAACATTAGTGGGGGAAACCCTGCATGGATTCACTGGCCAACTGCCATGGGAGTTACCAGCCACCACTGCTTACAGTAAATACATATCCAAAATACCTAGCCCAGGGGTGGGAATCACATGGTTCAGTGTGGCCCCCAGCACATGTTAATCCCCAGGTTTTTTATACAAAAATTTAAGGTTGCTGGTGGAGGACATGTTTCAAAGCTCCAAATATCCACTCACCCCCCCTTCATCCCCACACCAAGGACTGAGTACAGTAGAGAGCCAGTGTGGCACAGTGGTTTGAGCATTGGACCAGGACTCTGGAGACCAGGGTTCGATTCCCTGCTTGGCCATGAAACCCACTGGGTGACTTTGGGCAAGTCACATGCTCTCAGCCTCAGGGGAAAGCCCCATGATAGGGTGCAGCTGCCTATCTCTGATCTAGTCAGAGAGTACATTAACCAATCTATACATGAACACATATTGATACATTATTTTCACATTTGGAGGTCTTTGAAACAGGTTGCCCTACCAACCAAACATACATTAACCCCACTTCTATGATTACGAAATCATTGCCAGGAAATGTGTCTTCTTTCATATGATATTTGGCCAAAAAGATTAGATTAACATCACATCATTTTATATATCAGTTCCAATGTGAATCTCATTGAGTTCAAGGATTTTAAAAAAAATGTTCAGATAGGTTTTTGGCCATTAACTAGTTGCTGCAGAGGAATTTTTGTTATGGTATGTGTGTGTGTGTTGCACTTTTTAATATTTTTTCTCTGTTGTAGTTAAGATCCTTTGAACCTATTTGTAATTCACTTGTCTTTTAATGTGATAATTTATCTTACTGTGTTTTTAAGATGCTATAATTGATTTTAGTTATATTGCCTTTTAACCTTGGATGGAAGCTGCTTTGGGTTTCATATTGTAACAAAGGCAGGATATTAATTAATGAAATAATGAGAGAAGTGCACATTGGATTGTAGTCTATGCTCAAAAAGCATGAATGGCAAAGCCAATGAGGGGTTCTTTTTGCTACTGACTTCCATCAGTTAAACATTTTATTTATTCACGTCCTGGTTTTGCCAGTTTTAGGATTTGCTAAAGCTGGATTTATGGCTGGCTGGCTGATGGGAGAGATGTCTTTTAAAAAGAGGATGAGAAGTGAAGGGAAACAGAAAGTTGATAGTAGAACTGTAGAGGGCAGAGGGAGGTATGGATAGTGATGGGAACAGGATATTGGTTGACCCTACTGATGAATGGCAGTTTGCACATCAGAGGTGTGCATTGCATTCATTCCAGTTTTAGTATGAAGTGTAAGGATGCTATCCAAATTGCTGAACGCTATCTAACAAAATAGTTGTCCAGCACCTTCAGAATAAAACCCAAATATCAGAAGAAAACTCAGAGTGGGTTTATTTATTTATTGGATTCATATCCCATCTTTCTCCCACAATGGGATTCAAGACAGCTTACAATAATTTAAGGATACAACTAAAACATTAATTGCATTTTTTAAAAAAAAATAATTAAATGATAATAGAATTAAAACATAATAGTTAAAGCACATCATAGTTAAAACCATTTCAATAATTTTTTTTTAAAAAATGAAAGCATTAAAAACAACACACCGCTTATACACACAAGCTACAAGTAAAATCCACACTTAAAAAGCCTTCCTAAATAATAATGTCTTCAGCTGCCAGTAAAAAGGAGGGGGCTGACCTGACCTCCTTTGGAAGGGATTGCCACAGTATGGGAGCAGCCCTGGAGAAGGGACTGTCGCAAGTCCTCACCAACTGCACCTGCAAAAGAGGTGGGACTGAAAGAAAGCCCTCTCCTGCTGATCTTAACAGCCAGGAAGACTTGTATAGGGAAATACAGTCCTTCAGATAGTCTGCATTCAAGGTGCTTTAGGCTTTAAATGTCAAAACAGCTTCACCATGACATTGACATGGAAGTCCTCAGCCACTACTGTTTGCTCTCAAAGTGTCTCTCACATCAAAGTGTCCTTGAAGTAATAGTACTGAAGACCAGGTTGGTGAATAGAAAAAAATTACAGCCACCCAGGACATGATCCTAGAGGTTTGTACCAATTTGGTCTGTGTATCAGAAACCTGACTGGGTGAGATGAGAATGTGAGGGCAGGAAGGAATTCCTCTGTAACATCTACAAGGCAAAGCCATGAAGTCTTTTACAGAGCCAACATTTGACACTGGACTTTTGCATCTCTTAGTTCAGCTTGAGTTGTGATTCTTATTTAAGACTCTTCCAGAAAACTTTTAATTGGCTCTTATTCCTTTCTAGCTCTAGTTCTACCATATGTCCCTGATGTTGAGTAACAGTTCTTTATGTTAGTTGTTGTTTGCGTATTATCTGTGTGCTTGCTCCACAGTTTCCTCCAACAGTGTTTATAAGGCTCAACATTGGTTACCTAGCATTGCAGATATCCTCATTGCCTGTCTTACAAGAGCTGCTTGGAGCTTGAAGTCTCTGAGGAGTATCAATTGGTTTGTGTTTCTTATTGGTATGACAAAGAACTGTGTTCTATCAGATAATTAATACCAGGCACTGAAGCCCACCAAGTCAACTTCAAATTCCAACAAGCTCCATTTATCAACTGAGGTGTACCCTGGCTCCATCCTTAAAACATGAAATCCTTC